TGAATTTTCTAAATATCAGATTTTGTAATCCCAAGAACTCAATATGTTAATCATACCTCAATAAAACTGTTAAAATATTAATAACAGTAGCCAGGAGTGGTGGTACACACTTGTAATCCCACCATTCTGGGAGGCTGAGGCAGGAGGATTTAAAGTTCAAGCCCAGCCTGGGTAACTTAGTAAGATCCTATAATTTTTTTTTTTTTTTTTTTGGTACCGGGCATCGAACTCAGGTCCTTGCACTTGCGCAGCAGGCGGAGAAACCACTGAGCCAAATCCCCGGCCCTAATAAACAAATTTTTAAAATAATAGTAACAGACCAGGGATGCCGCTCAGTGGCACAGTGCCTGCCTGACAACCGTGGTCCTGAGTTCGATCCTTGGTACAAAATAATAATAATAATAATAATAATAGTAGTAGTAGTAGTAACATTTACTGAACATTCACTATATGCCAAGCTCTGATCTAAGCACGTCACACCTACTGACAAAGTTAAACTTTACAGTGATGCCTCCATTCATGAACACTTTGCAAAAAATTTGGTTCGCAAACAGAAGTATTTGGCAAAATTTTGTTTGCAAACTGCATCAAGTGACAAACATGATCTTGGCTATCTTTCTCACACAAACAAGGCAATCTTTTCCAAAATCATAGAACAAATTAAGTTGGTGAATGAAGAAGAAGGTGCTATTATTCCCCTACCTCCCTTTTTATAAACAGGTGAGGAAGATGAAGGGTGGAGAGGTTAAGGAACTTCCTTCCCCAGATCACCAAACTAGTAAGTCACTCAAAGCCATCATGTGAATCCCGGCAGTTGCTCCAGATTTATGATCTTAATTACTAAACTACATTGCTTCATAAAAGTTGAGGACAAAGAGGAAAGTTGATTCCCATGATTTAGAGCCTGAGTAAAAAATACGGGTTATCAACAATGTAAGCTAAAAAATCAGGCAAAGAAGCATCTAAAACCAAGAGCTCACCATTTTGATAGATATATCTAGATATGACAGTGAAAGTCAAGGAAGAAATTAATAACAGTACAGTACTTACAAAGAAGTAATATCTAACACTGTGAAAATGAATATAAAAAATTGAGCCATGGAATAAAATCTCTAAATTGGAGAGCAAAATAAGGAAGGGACAACAAAAAGGAGTTTAGGTGGAAGAGATTAACAGTATAATAGCAAGAACTGAGGGAAGGCTTTTCATTTTACAATGAAGAATTAACGTAATTTTTCAGAGAACAATATAGGAAGAAAGGAAGAGGCAAAACAGTTAAGGAAGAAAAACAGAATAGACTGGAAACAGAGCACAAAGATAATTTGCCTCAGTGCCCTATAAGATCATACGAAGACATTTTTAGCATGTATTTTTTAAGATTCAGAGAAAAAGAAAGTAGTAAATGGATGTAAAGTAGCATAGTTCCTTGATCTTAATCAAGGGACTAAAATGTATGTAATCGTGTCTTAGAGAGGTCATCTCATCTTCTTGTCTTTTATAAAAAGAGGAGTGAAACAAAGAAATAAGCTCATTTATTCCTTCAATAAATACTGAGTGGGCAATGTTGTTTGCCAGACACAATGTTAAACATTATGAATTTAACAGTGAATAAAATTAACACAATTTCTGTCCTTTTTTTCTGTGGAGTTTATTATTTAGTGGACAATACAGATAAACAAGGTAACAATGACAGAGTGTCATGGCTAGTGCCTAGGTGCCCCCCAAAGCCTCATGCAGTCATAGGTGGGGCTTTTTCAGAGGTGGCTGAATCTAGAATGTGTGATGCTGGGATTAGGGGTGTGAGATTACTAAATCAGTCCACTGATTGGTTTGGCACCTCCCTAATCCCTGTAGCCCAGATAGAATATAAAAGCTTGCCAGTGACTATTTCTCCTCTGTGATGCCCCTCTGCCATACCACCCCGCCTTGAAGCCAGACAACTATGGACTAATAACTCTACAAACTGTGAGCCAAATAAACCTTCCCTCCTTTAACTTTGGGAGTCAGGTATTTTGTTTCATAAAAATACCTGACTCCCAAAGTAAACAAGTAAAGTAACTAAGATGAAGATTATGGTAAGGGTTTTGAAAGAAATCAAAAGGTGTGTGATAATTTTTTTAAAATCTGAGAGTCCAATTTAATTCACTGAAGACTTTCTGAAACAGTGCCACTCTTGCTCTTATCAAAAATAAGGAGTCACTGGGCTAGGGATTTAGCTCAGTGCTGCCACGCCTGCCACGTAAGCACAAGGTCCTGAGTTCAAACCCTGGTACCAAGAAAAGAAAGAGAGAGAGAGAAAGGGGGGGGAGGGAGGAAGGGAGAGAGAGAGAGAGAGAGAGAAAGAAGTGAGTCACCATGTGAATACTAGCAGAAGTCTTCCTGAAGGGGGGAACAGTTTGGCCAGTAACCCTGAAGAAAGAAAGCTCTTTAGACAAATTTGAGAAACTAAAGAAACTGGAATACAGGGAAGTGGGAAGATTGGCATGAGATAAGGTTGAGTTTATTTTTATTTTTTTAGTATAGGAGACTGAACCCAGGGAGTGCTGAACTTTTAAATTTTTGAGGAGAGTCTCACTAAGCGGCCAGGCTCGTCTTGACCTTACAATACCCCTGCCTCAGTCTTGTGAGTAGCTGAGATTAGGTGTGTGCCATCATGCCCAGGAAGGGTGACTCCCATTTTCATGGTTTGGATAAATTAATATTGTTAAAATCTTGATACTATCCTGAATGATCTACAGATTCAATGCAATCTTCAGCAAAATACCAATGACATTCTCCATAGAACTAGAAAAAAACAATCCTAAAATTCTTATGAAACCAAAAGAGACCCCAAATAACCAAAGCAATCTTGAGCAAAAAGAACAAATCTGGAAATATCAGAGTACCTGACTTGAAAACGTATTATAATCCTATATAGCAAACAAAACAGAGTGGTGCTGGTAAAGTAACTGACACATAACCAAAGAGACAGAAGAGGGAACCCAGCAATAAATCCATCTATCCACAGTCAACTAATCTTCAACAAAATACACTCTAGAGAAAGGACCTTCAACAAACGGTGCTGGAAAAACTGGATTATATACACAGAAGAAAAAATATACAAAAACAAACTCAAACTGGATTAAAGTGTGGGCAACGAAAGTAAAAACAGACAAATGAGATTATATCAAACTAAGAAGAGTGAAGAGGCAACCTGAAGAGTAGAATAAAATATTTACAAACTATTAATCCAACAATTAGGATCCATAAAAAAGTAAGAAACTCAGAAAACAGCAAAAGAAACCAAATACTCTGATTAAAAATAGGCAAATGATCTGAATACACATTTCTCAAAAGAAGATACTATATATAAATGGCCAACAATATATGAAAAGTGCTCAACATTCTCAGTCAGGGAAATGAAAATCAAAACCACAAGAAAATACCACTTAACTCCAGTCAGAGGTTATAATCAAAAATAAAAGAAATAACAAAGATATGAAGAAAGGCAGAACCCTTAGGCTGGTCTGAGCCTAAATTAGTACAGCCATTATGGAAAAAAGCACTGATATTCCTCAAAAAAAATTAAAAATAGAACTATCATATGATTCAGTAATCCCATAGCTCGATACATATCCAAAGGAAATGAAATCTGTATATTAAAATCATACCTGCACTCTCAAATGTATTGCAGCAGTATTCGTATTAGCCAAGATGTGGAATCAACCAGAGTGTCCACCAACAGGTAAACAGATAAAGAAAATGTGATATATATACCCAATGAAATATTATTTGGTCATAAAAAATGAAATCCTGTCCTTTGCAGTAACATGGATGGAACTAGTAGACACTACATTAAGTGAAATAAGCCAGGCACAGAAAGACAAATGCCACGTTTCCCTCATATATGAAAGCAAATAAAGTTGATCTCACAAAAGTAAACAGGAGAAGATACTGATTACTAGAGGCTAGGGATGCCAGGTAGCAAGGGAGATTGAAGCTGGTTAACAATTATCAAATACAGTTACATACGAGGAAAAGCTCTAGTGTCCTAGAGCACAGAAAGGTGACTATAGTTTATAATAATTTATAAAGAACTAGTAAAAGTATGAAGATTCCCAACACAAAGAAATGATAATGTTTAAGGAGATGGAAGTGCTATTTACCCTAATTTGATCATTACACATTATATACATACATACATCAAGTCATCACACGGTACCCTATAAATATATTAATTATTTTGTGTCAATGAGTGTTTGCTTCAGCAGCACACACATTTAAATTTTTTTTTTTTTTGGTACCGGCAATCGAACTCGGGTCCTTCAGCTCGCAGGGCAGGCGGCGGAACCACTGAGCTAAATCCCTGGCCCCTAGCAGCACATACATTTAAAGAAAGTCAATTATGTTAAATTATGGTTAGAGTCATGGCTGACTCTACAATATAACTAAATCGGTTTCAGTCTAGCACAGAAGAAAGCAGCATAATGAGTATATAGTGAAAAGAAAGTGTAAAAATGAAAATAGTATGGTAGATAATTTTTTAGAAGTTTGGCTGTGAAAGAGCAAAGTGATGAGTAGCTAGAAGAGGAAGGACAGTTCAGGAAGATAATATATCATGTCCTTATGTTGAAAGGAATGACTTAGCAAAGAATGAGAATGAATAACTAAATCATTGTGTTGTCTAAAAAAAAATGAGTCAAGGCTGTCAATAGTTATGGAGATGCGAAATATGAGTTCCTCACATATTAAAAAAAAAAATTCAGACCATGGAAGCCAGGTATATGATCTGGCAGGAAGGATACAAAAAAAGTGACAAAGAATAGGAAATCAAAGTTGGCCTCAAGGGAAATACCCTCTAAAAGATAAATTAAACAATGCAAGGTTAGAGGGAAAGTACTAACAAATTACAAACAACTAAGGAATATATTTAGTCCATATACAATCTCATCATTCCTGTTAAGCATCTACTTTTACATTATATATAGCCAGTTCAATTAAAATATCTTTAAATTGCCTACCCAGCCACTGTGAGACACTGAAGTTCAGCTGCAATTCTTACAGGATGGCTTGTTGGAATTAAGTGTTTGAGAGCAATTTTCTCTTCAGGTCCTACTTGTAACTGTGCTGTCGCCAAATAGACTGAGCTGAAAGTGCCTATAAAATAATTTATTAGAATTTTCAATATTTAACTTTTAAAGTTTTTAATGAAACAAAGCTAAAATAGATCAACAAACTATTTTAATGGCATAATAGATTAAAATAGAACCGTTCATTTTACTGTAAATATTTATTATTTATACTTTCATTCTTTCCAGGGGGAAAAAAGAAAAGTGTTACCATAATTTATAATATTCTTGTGGTCTTAACAGTTTTAAAAGTGAGATCAAGAAATAATGAAAATCAAGATTATGAAAGGAAAATATAAGTGAAAAAAACTCATAAAGATAATAAAAATATGTCCCCAATTACCTTCTCCAATTTTGTTCTGAATTTTAAACACACTACCAAGCTGTGGTACAGCTTCATAAAGTTTCTCGATATCTTTTTTAACACCTATCAAGGAAAAAAATTTAGTTAGTAAGATATACTTTTATAGTTTCTAAAGTTAAAAATATTCAGTGAAATATTCTAACACAAGTAATCTAAATAAAATAGTTTTAATAAATCTTAAAGTTACAAGAATAATTAAAACCTCATCAAGGTGCTTTGACTCACATTACCTATTTTAACTAATAAAAACGACAGTCCCAGAATTACACATACAAAATATCGACTACACTGGAATTACACACTAATAATAACTCTACTATTATTGCGTACTGGCTTTTTAAATAAAGCTAAATTTTAAAAGTAACTAAAGCTGGACACAGTGGGCCCCACCTATAGTCCCAGCTACTTGGGAGGCTGAGGCAGGATTACTTGAGACCAGGAGTTCAAGGCCACCCTATGCAATATTGTGAGATCTGATCTCTTAAAAACAAAACCACAAAAAACTAAACACAAAACAAATAAAACCCAAAATAAAAATTAAAAGCAAATAAATTTATGTTGCAGACACTAGATGGCATAATATGGACACAATGTAATGTTCATCAAAACCATTTTCTTCCTCAAAGATACAGAATCTTGAAGCTTGGAAGAGTGTTAGGCATTGGATATTCACAGTATATCCCACAAGAGAAGGACCACTAAAGCTCTGGGCATGTAAAAAGTATTTTAAAAGATTTGTCCCAAATAACAGTAGTATCTTCTATCTTGGACAGCAGAAAAATTGCTACTTTTAAATAAATGTAAGCTCTTTATGAAAACATACATAGTTAAAATAAGTACAGGCAATAATATAAAATCTAATAAACTACTGGAGACAAAAAAAAGATACAGAAGTCTTGAGATTTTATCAACAATATCTAAGTCAAGTTATCATAATACTCAGTTTAAGACATTTTCAAAACACTTTCACATGCATTATCTTTTCAGATCTTCATAACAGCACTGTGATATTGGCAGAACAGGAATTAATATTCTGATTTTTCAGACATAGATACTCTATTCAGAGAAGTTGAATCATTAACCCAATTTCACAGAGGTGTAAGTGATGTCTATGGAGTCATTCATTCAACAAACAGGTTTTAAAAATACTTGGCCATGGGTATATTTGAAAAATGAAAAAAACAGGTGTAGCCACTATTCTCTAGGATTTAGTCTAGTGAAGGAGACAGACATTATTACTCTTAATACAACGACAAAGAGAGGAATGCATATAGTACTATGTAGAAGAGACACAGAGTTGGGGAAGATGAATACTTCTGAAGGTACCAGGAAGTGTTCAGTTGACAACCAGGTTCTGAAGCATTCATCAAGCAGCAAAAATGGAAAAAGACGTTTAGGAAGAAGGAAGTACATATGTAAAAGCATTGAAAAGGAAAAGGCATAGAACAGTGGGGAAAGGAGAGGGAGGGGACATAAGAAAATACAATGTAGCTAAGGAAGGGAAAAGGAGAACACAAGTGAAAGCTATGGAAAGCTGTTAAGCACAAAAATGATAAGTAGAACATGGACTTGAAGGGAAGGAAGAACATGAAGAGCTGGAGACCAAATAAAAGGCCAGGATCTAGTCTTTCCTAAAACTAAGGACTTTGCTATTCATCCATTATACTAAGTACTTTATATCTTTGCATTACGTCTTTCATTCAAATATTTCAAGCACCTACTATGTGCTGGATCCTGTATGGTTCTGGAAATGCAAAGACATGCAAAAAGTCCCACTATCCGATCAAACACATAACTTCAATAAGGAGTAAAGCTGATGAGGTCCAGGCACATAACTGTCTCATGATCTAGTCTATTTACTTTCTCAATTAGATCAAGAGACAGTTATGTGCCTGGACCTCATCAGCTTTATTCTTTATTGAAGTTAGGTTTTTGATATAACTGTAGCTTTTATTAAGGGTCATATAATAAAAGAACCATATGGGTAAAGTTTCAGCATGTTTTATATATTATCATAGGCATTATTTATAATGTTGTCCAATGCGGTTCTGTGAAAGGCTACAAAACTTTCAAAACTGGAAATAAAATTCACTCAACTCTTTATTTCCCAGTGGATTCTCAGAATATTAGAAGAACAGCATTGTTCTGAACATAATGCTAAAACCAAATCAGATTGATCCATTTACACACTCTACTTAATAATGCACAACATATATGACAAGCCAAACTAGAGAGACAAACTACAGAGTGCTAATCAATGCAAGAATGATAACTACATTGTTATATTGTGTGTCCAGAGACTAATAATGGAAAGCTAAACAGTGTAAAATAGGTAACTGTAAGAAGAATGGAAGGAAAGGGAGACAGCATCCATGAAACTGGATGAAATTGGTATTTTAAGGTTAATCTAGCAGCAGCATTATAAATTGAAATGGGAGGCTGGATCAGAAGTGAAAGGTAAAAGTCTTGATTATAATTCAAGAACAAAGTGTATGGGAATCAATGAGGTACAAATGGGAATGTAAAGAAGCAGCTGCATACATTTAAAAAAGATAATTTGGGTGACTGGATATAGGGAGCAAATACAAAGCATAAGTCAAAGAAAACTTTAAAATTTTAAATTTGGTAACTGAAATAACAGTGGGTTTCATCACCAAAAACAGGGACACTGGGAAGGGTACCAATTTGACTCCTACTGAGTTTAGTTTTATTCAGAAAGCAAAAGTATGTGAGGTCATATTTTTTAGGGTGGAGTTCAAGACTTTTGTAGTGTACATATAAAGTACAGATCAAAATCAAAACTTTTTTTTTTTGGTACCAGGGATCGAACTCTGGTCCTTGCACTTGCACAGCAGGTGGCGAAACCACTGAGCTAAATCCCCAGCCCAAAATCAAAACTTTTGACCAAGGTCAAAACTAAGATCTTTTGGAGAAGCATTAAATTTGCCTAGGACAAAGGTGGAAAAGATTTAGCTACCTTTTAGGAGAAAAGAAAGCAGCCTCCTGGAATTCTTTTATTTAAAAAATATTTCTTAAATGTTCCCTATGTCCCAGACATAGTGATAGAGGAATGAAGATATATCTTTCAATGTATAAGATCTGGTATTAAAGGGGTTATGGTCAAACACTTCATGAATTATACTTATACAGTACATTATCGTGCTTTGTCACTGCTACAAATATTTCATTCACTTTTATCAGTGAATTCTGCTTTTGAATACTTAAAGTGTTAATTACTAAAACCACACTTAGTGTAGAATGATGAGGTGAGGTAAGAGCAGGTATAGGAAAAGACAAATTCTAGTTTGGGCATCAACAAACTTGTGTTTTCTTAGCTACTAATATTTAGATATTAGCATCTTCATCTGTAAAATGGTAAGACTGGATTACAATCCTCTTAAAAGGTAATCTCGTTCTTAAATCTAGACCTTCACATGTTTGTAAAATGCTCCTACAAGAACATACAATTCGCCTTTTCAACATTATTTGTTAAAGGAGTCAAAAATACAGAGTGGCTGCCTGTGCATCTTTAAAATTGCACATGTTGGGAAGTAAACACATACCTGGAAGATTAAAATTTTGCTCATATTTTTTAAAAGAATCATCAGTCTGAAACTGGTCGCAGTGTGGAGAAAAAGCCATTGGCTCGTCCATCTGAATCCCCAAAGATGCCTCCATCACAAAAAAACTGGGATCCAAAATGTCAAGAAGGGGTTATGTCCACAAGGGAGCAGAGCAGCTGTCAAAATGTGAATACTGGAGAAGGTAAGTTTAATCATTCACTGAACCAAGCACGAAACAATGCCACCACTCTCAAACGGACAAATATTTAAAAATGTACCATATGCCCAAAGCCCCAAAGTAAGGGAAACTGCCCAGTCCTAGGAACTCCATTAGAATTTCTTTCACCTTCTAGAAATACCAGCAGGGGGCTGCAAGGAACACTTCCCAGTCGGGGATGCCTCAGCTGCAGCTGACAGCAGTGGAAAGGGACTGGGACTAGGGCCAGCGGAGACAGCGAGCCCGGGCACCAGGCAGCTGGAGGGTGTGGTGCAGAGAGGCGAAAGGGGGAGGGAAAAGGCTGAGTAAAAAAGTCATTTGCCCACTGTCCGCCCAAAGAGCCAGGAGGTTCAAAACAGGAGACTCTTCCAAAGTCCCATACAAACATGGAAAATTCAGTTCTGGCCACGAGAGCGCGGCGGGACAAAAGAAGGGAAACGAACGGTCACCCTTCCGCGAGAGCGGGTCGTGAGTTCAGCAGGACAGGACCTCCCGCCCCCGGACCCAAGCCTGAACCCGGGTGCTTAGTGCGCAGGCGCGCGGCTTTCCCGCCGGCGGTTGGAGGGATCTAGAGGGAGGGATGGCGAAAGGGATAAACTAAATTACGACAGAACTGAAGTCTCGATTCAGAATTCGTTCCTAATCCCTCACAATCCCGCGCCATGGAGCGAACCGTCAGAAACTCACGGTTTAAGGGGGTACTTCTGTGGCCCCCCCAGTTGCCTGGGTCTCCGCCTCCAGAGCTCCCCACCTAGCGAGTCGGCCAAACGCGCCTGCGCAACGCATAGCCCCACGCTGTTTCGAATTGCTCATGCGCGATAGAAATCCCTCGGCTCCACCAAATCAGATCAGGACGCCTGCGCAAAAGGCTTGGCCGACTTCCTAAGGGGGGGAGGGGTTAAAAAAACAAAACAACAACAACAAAAAAATTACAGAAGTAAAATCTCCGGATAAAGTTAAGGGGCTGAGCATATTTTCAGTCAAGCCTCTGGCCCTGGAGTTCTGTCACGTCCCTATACTTCTGCAACACAAGACGTTGGGTAAGCTATGAATAAAAGGAAGTTTCTTGGCTCCCTGCTTTTATCATTAAGTGCCCTACCCCGTTACAGTCAAACAAACAAACAAAAATTGCTTTGTGGCTTCATGATAGTAGAAACGTCCAGAGCGGTATTCAGGCCGACAGTGTATCTATACCCCTTAGCTATGAGGCAGGTTTCTAGGGCCTGAGTTTAGAGCCCCAAACAAACATCATCTTTCACGGAATAAAATTCTAGTTAGCTGGGCATGGTGGCGCATGCCTATAATCCCAGCACTGAGGAGTAAGAGGCAGGAGGATTGATGCAAGTTCAGGGCAGCCTAGACTACATAGTGAGCTCAAGGCCAGCCTGAACTAAATAGGAGACCCTGTCTCAATCAATCAATCAATCAATCAATCAATAATTCCACTTAGGCTGTGACAATAAAGGAAGCAAAAATGAGCCAGGTACTTCCAGACATTGATTAGCACTCCAAAGGAGATAAAATTGGAGGATCCCATAGGGACTAGGGGGAGTGCCTTGATGAGACAGTCAAGGAAGGCCCCCTCAGAGAAGAGATCTAGATAAGAAGGAGACAATAGGAAAAAGAGACTACCCAGAAAAAGGACAGAGCAAGTGCAGAGATAGAAATGAGCCTGGTATGGTTGAGAGAGCAAAAGCCAGTGTGCAGAAGCACAATGAGTGAAAGGAAGTATAGTCTGAAGGTAAAGACTTAGGCAAGAAGCCAATCATGTAGGCTTTGAAAGCCCGGGCAAGACGTTAGCTTTTATTGTAAATACAATGGGAAGCAATTTTAAAGCAAGGGAATGATGTTATCTCATGTCTATTGTGAGGGAATAAAGTTATGAGAGGAGGATGAAGGAATGGATTCAAGCACAGGAGGGGAGATAGACTTTTAAAAGAAAAATTCCCATCCTTTTAATGGGAGGAAAGATAGAAAATAAATTCCAATGCAAATGGTTTGTGTATGAGTGGGAGGGTAAGGCAGAGGTCCTGTCTGATCACATTAACTTTCTTAATACAATCCGAGGTCAGTCCTCCATCTGAGGAGGCAAGAAGAGGATGTTAGAGGTTGAACAAGTCAGAAGGAGGTCAGAGATTTGAGTGTGAGATTGTAAACTATAAAAAGATTGTGACATTACCAGCAAGTCTGAGTGCCCATTTGCAATTTGTATCAGGGAGTCCAGACAGCACAATGATATGATTTTCTCAAGTACATGTCAGTCAAAGGAATACAGACATTAAAGAAGATAGTTGAGTGTAAGGATAACTATCACACAGAGGGCAAGTTAGACTGTTTACAAGGAAGTAATTATAATGATTCACCATGGAATCTTTGGGAGACAAGGAGGAAAGGTAATACATGGATTGACCCACCCAACCATACACAGATTAAAAAGTGCTGGGAACAATGGACCAGTAATCTCAGCAATCTCACAATTGGTATAATGAGGATGGAAGGGTGAGTTGAAAAGATAGAGGTAGTAGGTGGTGCATAGAGTGGTGAAAATTGGGATTTCAGAGATAAGGTCATTGGAGGAAGTAAAGATGTTGGGGGGAAAAGATCTGTTTTGTTGTAAAAAGGTCAAATTATTCTGGCTGCACAACTCATGATCAAACCAAAGAGATGCTAGTTATTTTGACTCATGATTTCTCCCCAGGCAGTAAGTAGTATCTCCTCTGGGGTCCATTAGTACATTATGCATGCCTCCATTTCAGCATACAAACATAGGAAAGAAACACAAAATCTCTGTACATCCCAGACGTCAGCAGGAACCTGTGAGGGAATCCCAAACAGAGCACTCAAACATAGAGTTAGGAGCAAAAAGCAGTTTTAATAATGACGATGGCTCTGCAAGTGACTCCTGTCAGTCTTGATAGCCCCAAAAAGAAGTTTGTTTTTCTTTATACACCTCTTTTTAGATCTATGAAGCTTAATTTCCCTGGAGTTTCCCTGGGAATATAGCAAGCAGGATTTACACAAAGCAGAGCAGTGGGGTAGGGGAAGAGCAAAGAGTCCTGGCAGGACTTTCTGAGTCCATTATACTCCTTTAGTGACAGATTACTGAAGCTGTCATGGTTACTCAGGTGCATTCCACAAATAGCATAGTTACCCAGTTAACCCATAGTTGCCCAATTCCATACAGAGGGGTGGTTTCCTCTCTCAAGACCTCTGAATCAGAATCTACAATAAGGCAAGATTCCTAGATAATTTGAATGAACTGTACAATCTCAGAAGCACTACTGGAAAACAGTGGTTCTCATTCATGCCTAGATGTTAAAATCACATGAGGGATTGTTGGAGGTCAACCTGCAAGCCCAAATCAATTACATCATGATTTTGGTGGGTAGGATCTGAGCATAGGACTTTTTAAAGCTCCCTCATTTGATTCTGATGTACAACCAAGGGTGAGAACCACTGATTTAGAAGTTGGTCACATTAATCCAAACACCTCTGATTATAATCATTCATTAATCCTCCAGTTATTTCCCCCATTAGTCATGTAATTACTTGTATAGTGTTTAACTTCTCCTTTATATCTTTTATATTAAGTGCACAGTACTACTAATTTGAATGATCCCATCTTGTATCTTGAATTGTTTATAAGATGGACAAATTACACAATATTTCTGACAGTCTCTTTATTTTAAAAATGTAAAATAGATAAAATGCTTGCTTGGTTTTGCTATACAAATTGATTTAGATAAAGTGACATAAGACACTAAGACACATAAAATACTTAGCCTCTGATGTTGCTACCCCATTTAATCTGTAGTAGATATTTTCTCCTCCTTTCCTTTTGATTATATCCTTAATGCCTAGCACATTGCTGTCCACATAGTAGGAATTTAATAAATGGCTATGGAGTTAATGCAACAAGAATTCAGGTATCAAATGGTTGGTTCTATAGGGATGGGGCAGAGGGTGTAGGTAGAGAAAGGATAGGATGAAGGCCTCCTTGAGTTTTGATAGAAGTTAATGGAGAGACTTACTAAGTGCCATGGCTTCTGCCTCTGCAGATTAGACTGGGCAATCAGAAAGACAAAGACAAAGAAGCTAAACTCAGGGAGGTCCCAAGTAGCATGATCAACATAAACCCCTTTACTTAATACTTACGCCTAAACTGCTTGTCCCTAAGCCCCCCAGCCCTAATTCTAGGCTCCACCAAACAACAGGAAAGGTCATATGACTGGAAGAAATCCAAGGGGAGGACCAAAAACAGCCCTGGAGCCAAACAGATTCCAGGAGCCTGCAGGGAACAAGGATCTCAAAAAAAAAAAGGAGCCATAAACGAGAATCTACGAGTATTTCGCTTTCAAATGCTTCCTCTTCGTGGTGTAGTTATGTATCATCTCTCTCTCTCTTCTCCTTTTCTCCACCTTCAAGTAAAGTTCTTCTCTTAGTTTAAACTTGGCTTCTCTAATTCTCACTGACGCTGGGTTTACGATCCTTGAGAGGTGTGTTTTCGATCCTTGAGAGGTGTGTTTTCCAGCACAACAGCAGCTTGCAGTCCATGTCCTGGTGTTACAGTTGTACTTACAGTTAGAGTAAGCACATTACAAGTGGATTGATTGCTGCATTTTAATACTTATTACTTATGGATATTGATCATGACATACATACAATCTTCCTTAGAGTCAGGCCAGTGCCTTCACCACTTTTCCTTCACAGAGTGTTCATTGTGCCTCCAGTTTTTTGTGTGCATGTTTTTTGTTTTATCTTTTGTTTCTACCTCTGCCTCCTCCAAAATCAGTGGAGTTTTCATTTCTGTAGATCTAGATTTCCCAAAATCTGTCCCTTCTATAACTCATGGTTAACGCTTATAGTGATCAAAAGTAATTTTATCACATGCTGTTTTGTTTTCTAATTCACAGTATTGAATTAGTTTCTTATTAAATATTTTGTCACATTCTCTGACTTACATTGCTTTTCTGAGCATTTCACATTGCAACTAGACTAATCTTAGAAGAACGACCTTGTCTTTTAAGGATTTCTTTTATTCTTCAGAGCATTTATTTCCTTGTTAACCACAGAATAGGTGTTTTACTAATGCTTGACATCTTTTTTGCAGTCATCAATGGATATGGAATTTTAAATCTCATTTAGTTGAACTCAGTTTTTGAGGAAAAAATATTTTTATCTAGTAGTTTTTTTCCCCACAGTGGTAGTTTTTTCTCTTTCCTCCACTTCCAAAGGAGACAGTTAAAAGGAAGGGGAAACAGAACTATTTGGTGCTGAAAGTAATTTTATTTCAAAAGAATGAGAAAGCTTTGTAATTATCTTAGGCAATTGATATCAGAACAGAGTATATTAGATCCTTTTATGGTTCCAAACTATGTCAGAGAAAGGACAACGAATATGTAAAACTAATGGTTTTTAATTAATCATTTTCAAAGTTAAGGTGTAGGGAATGGCTAGGGAGTGGAAAGGGGAGTGAGAGGAGGAAAAGAAAGTGGAAGAAGAAGTAATTAGCAAGTAAAAAAAATACTGTGCTCCTTTAATCTTAGATTATTTTAAATGTTCTGAAGGAAGAGAAAAAGAAGATGGGGAAGGGAATAGGCTGCTTCAAACAGGGATGAAGACAGGCTGGTAGTCCCTGTTCACCAGAGAGCCAGAGGTGGAAGACTTGAGTGGAGGATGACTGACACTCCAGAGAAGGAGGCTGCTCCCAGGCCTAGAAAGATGCTCATCCTATCAGCTTAGGAGCAGGGACTGGTGGGATGGACTGTTACTCACCAGTAACAAGTAGCCTCCTTGCTGCCTT